AGCCGTCAATCGCGCCCACTTAGGGAGACCTATCGAATCCGACGTACTTTTTGAAAGATCCCGCGAGACGTTTCGTGCATCATCGAGGAGATCGTTTATCGGGAGCTTTTGATAAAGTACAGATTCGAGTTTCGGCGGTGGAATCGATGTCACAGTCACCAGGAGGCTGCTGGGATACTTGTCCCTGTTGTTCGACCGCCACCAAGTGTAAACCTATACGAGACGAAAGGAACAAATAGGATTTTCTGCGATATGACATGGATGCAGAACTCTGCGTAAATCATCCAGAAAAGGGTCGCTATTCATTGTACTAGCTGGTTTTGCGAGAAAGTAAAAATTGCAGTATTCCGAAAATAAAAACTTATACTCTTCTCTTTAGAGCTATACATCGCGTTAGCGCTCGTCACCCATTACAGTCAGCAATATAATTCAAGGTGATGTCTGTGTTAGAATCTTTCTTCCTAGTTCATTCACTGGCTGACCTTGACCCATTGTCACAAAGACTGTTTTCACGAGAAATATATATATATATATCTTCCGTATATATATATATATATATATATATATATATCTTCCGTATTTCTCGTGAAAACAGTCTTTGTGACAATGGGTCAAGGTCAGCCAGTGAATGAACTAGGAAGAAAGATTCTAACACAGACATCACCTTGAATTATATTGCTGACTGTAATGGGTGACGAGCCTTAACGCGATGTATAACTCTAAAGAGAAGGGTATAAGTTTTTATTTTCGGAATACTGCAATTTTTACTTTCTCGCAAAACTAGCTAGTACAATGAATAGCGAGCCTTTTATTTGAAATTGTTTGTAAAAATTTAATCAAGAACAAGCGATCCACAATATCTAATACGTTATGATGTCCGCAACATATCAACAACATGATAGCAATGAATGATTCGTCGTTTCATCTTAAGCATTATAATGCTGACACGTTGCAAACAATTGATCGTTATTGGAATTAGAATTCATACGAGTTCAACTTACATAACAACAGACATAATGCTGACTCATCTTGTTTCGAGTTTGTTACAATTAGTTGTTACAAGGATTTTGGCAACATGTTAGCAAACTTATAGCATTTGGCTATCTGGGTTATTATAAACAATAAGATGGAAGTTTTTGGCATATTTTAACAATCTACAATCGAGTGTAAATGACAGTACGCGAGAGAAAGATTTATTTCTGTTAACACGAGCGCGCGAGAGAAAATTTTATTTTATTCACACCCAGTGTGGTTGCAGCACACAAAGGGCTAGAAATTATAATTTACAGTAAAAGTATTCAAAATAAAACGTAAACACATGCATGTGCAATTTTCTAGGAAAGATCTAATGGGAATTCCGTAAACAAGTAGAAAAATTCGCTTGAATAACGGTGAATACCTCGCACTTTTGTCTTCCGTATTTCTTTAAGCTTTGTTTGGGTTTGTAAAGTTGCAGTCGCACTTTCTTGCCCGTATGAAAAGTGTTATTGATCCCTACAGGCTTGAGAAATGCCCAGGCGATTTTGTTCCAGCATCCCTCGCTACCTGAAATACCAAACGTAACATACTTGATTCATTTGATGCTCGGAAACGCGTAAAACTCAATATCATCTCCGAACTATAAAATTGTAAAAGTTATTAAATGTTGCAACGGATATCGATTACTGGTATATTATTTACAACCGAGTAATTTATTTAAAGTATACTATTTCTCCATTTTTTTAAAAGAAACACAGGAAAGTCTTCTAATATGAAATAGCCTAGGTTTCCAACACCCAAATTCCATCACAAATTTTTTTCGCAACGATTACACAATTAATTTAACAATGAAATTTTCACTAAACAGATTTCGCTCCAAGGGTAATGAATTCATGGTGGAATCAACTGATGATACTGATTAATTTAACAGAAACCCCGCTATCCCATATTAAGATCCTATCTCATAATAGGAGACTTTTCTCTATTAAAAAATTGTTTTCCACGGAAAGAATCCCGCACTAATCATATAGGAAATTGGATCTCGGTTAAATTGACTAGTTTTCACATATGTTGTAGCTTGTGACCTGCTGAACAAAAAATGTAATGGGCTGAAACTTAAATAATGGCTAGTTACTGGGATACAGCCAGTCAAACATAGAAAATTTGGGCTCCGCGGGTCTTGTTTGGAAGTACTTTGAAGCATATTAGGAAAAGATGTTTCAGACAAAAGTTGTTTGGTTCGAAGGGAGACATAAGACGATGCCATTAATTTGACCTTAGATAATCATTTGAAGGTCACACGAAGGTCAATTTCAATTTCTTAAATGGACACCCCCATTTTTCATTGCACATTTTTATGTCAAGAGTTTTTCAAAGACACTATATATAATGAAATATAGTCTTATTTCGAACCAAACAAATATACAGGGTGTCCCATTTTAACTTGGACAGTAAAATATCTCGAAAATTGAGCCCAGCAGACAAAAATGTTTCAGACAAAAGTTGTTTGGTTTCGAGGGGACCATAAGATGGTACCATTGGTTTGACCTTGAAGAATTATTTGAAGGTCACATAAAGGTCACACCAATTTTTTTAAATGTCATTCCCTATTTTTTTATTACATATTCTTGTAGCTGACCTCGAGAGCTTTCCAAAACGCTATAATAAAGTATTTTTTTATTAAGATCTTTTTGAGTTATTAAGGTTTGAAAGTTCCAATATTTTGACATAAATTACAAAATATCTTGTAAAATATTCATTTTTTATCATCTTACCTTAGTACTTTTTTAACAGAATAATGAGACAAATCAACCGGTGTAAAGAAAACACAATTGTTAAAAAAAAATTTTTATTACTTGTTACGAAATTGTGTGTTTTCTTTACACCGGTTGATTTGTATCATTATTCTGTTCAAAAAAGTATTAAGGTAAGATGATAAAAAAATTAATATTTTACCAGATATTTTGTAATTTATGTCAAAATATTGGAACTTACAAACCTTAATAACTCAAAAAGTTCTTAATAAAAAATACTTTATTATAACGTTTTGGAAAGCTCTCGAGGTTAGCTACAAGAATATGTAATAAAAAATAGGGAATGCCATTTAAAAAAATTGGTGTGACCTTTATGTGACCTTCAAATAATTCTTCAAGGTCAAACCAATGGTACCATCTTATGGCTCCCTCGAAACCAAACAATTTTTGTCTGAAACATTTTTGTCTGCTGGGCTCAGTTTCGAGATATTTTACTGTCCAAGTTAAAATGGGACACCCTGTATATCGAACCAAACAACTTTTGTCTGAAACATTTTTTCCTGATATGCTTCAAAGTATTTCCAAACAAGACCCGCGGGGCCCAAATTTTCCATGTTTGACTGGCTGTAGCTCAGTAACTAGCCATTATTTAAGTTTGAGCCCATTATATTTTTGTTCAGCAGGTCATAAGCTACAACATATGTGAAAACTAACCAATTTAACCGAGATCCAATTTCCTATATGATTAGTGCGGAGTTCTTTATCACGAGACACGGTATTATATATAGTGTCTCGCGCCAAGTATAAGTGACTATTAGATAAGCGACAAACTAAAACCACGCGCGCGACACCGACCGTGTAGTGGTAATTATTTGGATCTATTACTTTTGAAAACATTTCTATTACCCCTACAGGTATCTTATGTTAATTACTTGACGTAATAAGAATAACTAATTCATAGGAAGGACTAGCTCCCCCCCCCCTTTCTCAATCAGACAATTAAATTGTACTCTTAACATCTTTTAAATAAACTAACTGACTGATATGAGTTCTTAATAGAAACTTGCCAATTTTGTCGTAACTGAGACTCGCGTCGGCGAAGCTCAAGAGCTCCATCACCTCGAATAGAATCACCGCTTGTTTGTCGTCCTCGCGTCTCATGATCGCGTCAAAGTTGTGCTCGAAAATGAGCTCCTCTTCCCAGACCGGTATCATCGATCTGTTCTTCTTGTAGTCAAACTTGCCGGTGATCATCGGCTGCAGATACGCGCCGCCGTCCTCCGTTGTGCTCTTCAAGTACGCGCCGGTGGAAGCCTCCATGATATGAACCCTGATCATTGGTCGTCTCACGCTCGCGTAGTCTGCCTCCAGCACGTCCGCCTGGTGAATCGTCACAGAGATAAACTTCACCTCCTCCTTCTCCTTCGTCGTCCCCTTTTCCTGTCTACGTTTCTTCTTCCTCTTTCTCCTGACCCTCGTGTCGTCCGCTTCTACCATCGAAATCGCATCCGTCGCGGACGGGCGGACGAACGCGTTGTCACCGAGAGGTTTCTTCTTTCTCGACAACGATCGCTCTCTCCTCCTGGACAATTGATCGCGCGTCGTTTCCGGTTGGGACCTCCGACTGCTCGAGACTCGCTCCTCGGAGGTGATAGAGCTCGAGCGAACGTTGGTGATTCTCTCCGGATTCGGCGACGAATCGTGTTCCTTGACGCTGTTTCTTCGGCTCTCCGGAGGGGCCTTCCAGGATCTAGCTCTCAATGAAGGACCGTCGCTGTCCACAGCGAGACGCTTGCTCAGCATCGTCTCCTCTTGCCGGTGCCTCCTCGAAAAGTCGCCGGACGTGGTCCCACCTTCGTCCACGTCCTCAACGTTCGAGCGGTCGCTCACCCTCCTCATTTCGATTTTGGTGCTCTCCCGGTTGTGATCGGTCTCAATCCGGAGCACCTCGTCCTCGTTGTCAGACACGAAGGCCGGATTGTCGAAGAGGACGGCGTCGCTCCGCCGTAGGCTGGTCCGCGGCGCCGGGACCGGCGTTTTGCGCGAGTCGTCTATCAACGGGGACGTGTCGTCGCTGGTCTCGGGCAGTCGGATCACACCGGTGTCCTTGGACCAGCGTTTCCGCGGTGGTTTCTTCGGGTCGACCTCCGTTTCGTTCGTCACGCTCGCCACGGTGTTCCATTGCTTCCTGCGCCGCGGCTTCTCCTCGGCTGACTTCTCGTTCCTCCTCCTCGGCGCCTCGAATTCCTCTATCAGATCCAACGACTCCACCAGCAAGTCGTCATGTTTGGACGGATCCTTCGAGGCGCTCCTACGACTCCGAGGCGCTTCGCTCGCTCGCGAAAACGCTTTGGAGCTTTGGGATAATCGCTCGGAGGATCGCTTAGCTTCCTTATTGCCAGAGAGCTCGATCGCGAGATCGTTCCCGTCGTCATGCTGTTGCTGCCGTCGGCCCGAGCTTTCACCCCCGTTGTGAACGTCCACGACGACGTTCACCGTCGTCTTCGGCGGCATTGCGTGCTCCGTCGAAGACTCCTCCAAGAGGGAGGACACGTTGCGCGATCTCCTCAGTCTCCTGCCCTTCGTCAACTCGACGGACTTGGCCATCTCTGCGACTTCGAGTCTCCTCTAGCGGCTGCTGATGCGCCGCTAGGAGAAAGAAGGTCATTCGCCAGAGAACATCGCGTGTGCTCCAGTTGTGCAAGCCGATCGATCACTCGCGAAACTTACGAATTCACCGGACGGCGATACCATCGCGGCCCTGAAAAAAAATAATTCCGTCCTCGTTGTAATCTTCATTAAAATTCACGCGCCTACGTAAACTTTATTCTCGACATATAAACACTACGCTGACTACGTTGTCCGTCGCGTGAGGCAAGCCGCGTTACTAACAGACGGCACACCTGGTGTGGGTGTACCTGGTTACGCTCAGCGGAGTCCATGGATCGATCGATACGGGAACGGCGGCGGGCGACCACGACTCGGAACCCAAGCCCTCTTTACGCATCTCCTCGATTTCTGCGCAAACAAATCTCACGTTTTAATCCACAAAATGTTTGTCCACGATGAAAAGGGATAAGAAATAATAACTTACCGCAATCGATCCGTAATTCTCCTCCGGAAAATTCTCCCCTAGATGACCTTCATTCAAGAGGGATACCAGTCGATTTACATTTCCGTTTTATTTTTGCTGCAGAAGAAAGACTACTCTCGAGTAAACCTTCAACCTTACAGATCCTAGCGGAAAAAGTTTCTATAAATAACTACAAAAAATTGACTTGAAATACTTTCAATTCGACTTGACTGAAGAAGCCCATGAAGATTTAATGCGCGCACCAGTGATGACTAGAATTGCGTTCGGTAATTACACATCTGAGGCATCGGAATGATTTTCCTCTCCCCCCCCCTCCCCCTCCCCCTCTCTCTCTCTCTC